GACAGGAGTGTTGCAAATGAAGTGCAGCCTCGTGAGATCTGAATAGTTGGAAACATTATCTTTTGCCATATATAGATTAGTTTACTTTAAAAGTTAAAATCCAGTTCCTACTCATGTGCCTCCGTTAACTGGAAGGGAAAACACAGTGAAGGCTGTCCGCGTGGCCAGGGCCCAAGCCCTATTGGTTCGCTTATCTCAAAGTCAGAAATATGGGATTGCGTTATCAAGTGAGCGGCCAATATAGATAGCTTCTGAAGAGGAGATGTTATGCGTGCTGTTATGGGTGTTCATCACGTAGCAAATAGGTACTTTCAATATTAGGCAAAGCCTCTAGTTTCAAGGTTTGAAATTTGTTAGTAGAAAGTAAATTAAAATATCAACAGCTGTTTTCAGGTACCGTCGCGGTAATCTGGCTGGACCACGTGAGTGTTTATGGCAGTGTTGATACCGGTGTGCCTAGACAAGGATGAGATGCGGAAAGCAGTTGCTAGTGAAGGCACTTGCATCTGCAGCGGCAGGAAGCAATAGGGCACATCAGCGGTGTGCCGACAGCGGGGCAGCCCCGTTTCCAGCCGTCCCCCCTCGGTGCCTCGTGCTGTGCAGACCCGGGGAAGCTGCAGACAGCTTCTCCGAGCCGCCCCCGCGCCGTCAGCGCCGGCGAGCTGCTGGGGAAGAGCTAAAGCGGTCGGGGCTCCTGTCTCGGCAGCGAGGGGGGCACCACAGGAAGTTCATGACTGTCCTGTCTGTGCTAGCAGAGGTGACTGGTGGATCTAGAAAAGGTTATTCATGGACACCTGTGCTTCTAGGCTGCTGGTAGGGAAGGAAGAGATGGTACAGTGCGGTGTCCTATCTGGAGCCAGAAAACGCTCTTCAAAACCACTGCATGGAAAATAAAAAACACCAAAACACACACCTTGCCGGCCGAGCGTCGCTGGCTCCGTCGGCCCGCGGCTCCCGCTGCGCTGGCCGGTGGGAAGAGTCAGCGACCCAAGGCGATTTCCTCCGTACGTTTCCAAGGCTGCTTCTTCCGCGCCTGTGGCCGTCTGGGTGATTAATGTGAATAGGAAAACACTGCTGAGCCGTTCAAATCACGTTAGCCGCCGTCCGTCCGCTGCTCCTGCGCCTCGCGAGGTACCAGCGAGCGCTGCGCCCTCAGGATAAGAGCCGGGGAACCGCAGAAATCATCTTTGGATCATATTTGGATGGGACTAATCACGGCATTAAATGTTAAGCCGTGCAAATTGTAACTGTCGGCGAAAAAGAACTATAAGTTGAAAGGGCCGTTAGTGTTTCGGCTATAATAATTAATTAATTAGAGTAATCTTTTTTTTTTTTTTTTTTTTTGCTAGTGTATAGCTTATACAAGTCTATGTGCAAAGCATGTAATAATAAGGGACTGAGTTCGGGAGTGTTTGTTTTGTGTCATTATTTAATTTCAGTCATTAAAGAAATGTTAGAAATATTAATTTAAATGCACTGACATTTTATACTACCAGGAGTAAATTGCAATCTTTACTTGAGTAAAATCAAATCTAAAAGGCAAATTATTAGTAATTGAGAAATTAAATCATTTTAAGCATTTCTTTGAGTATCAAAGTAAAAACTGAAGCCTTTAAAGATACGAATTTTGTCGAATAGAAGCATCACTTTCAGCATGTTGAACTAAGTACAAATTTTAAAACACTGAATTTTGGCTGTCAGGTTTCTATGGTTACCTCCCTTCCCAGCAGTTTTGCGAGGTGTGCAAATAGGCCTGTGAGTCACTTGTAATTATTTGTTTTTTGTTTGTTATAGTTGTAATTCTGTGTTCAGTTTGAGTCTAATATAGTTCACACCACATGCTTTGCTTTAGGTATATCGGAGGGCGTATGATTGACAGTGATTGAGCATTTCTTATGGAGTGCTTGTTTTTTTTTGTCGTACGTGATGTATGTTGGTACTCCTGAAAATGCAAACAAGTTCTTCCTGTATCTCTGTTTGATAAACAGGGACTTTTATGATAAGAAAGAGATCTTTGTAAACGTTAAGCAAGAAGATAAGTGAAAGATACTTAAAAAACAAAAAATTTGAAACAACCTCCCAAGCATTATACCATACTCCTCCAAATTGGATCTGTAATCCTGTGATTATAATTCATTCAGTGACCCAAACGTCACCTATTTATGAATAAGCATCCACGTTATGCATTAATAACACATTCTAATGACTGACAGGTATAAAAATAAATGTTTTGGTAGGGGTACTGCAAGTTATCTGCAGCAAGCGCTTGATTGGAACAACTTCCTTGTGCAGAGCAACTTCTCGAAAAAAGTAAGAGCTCATTTCCACCACCACCACCACCACCACCACCACCACCACCACCATGGGGTAGTAGAAACATCTATGAACTCTTACATCAGTCTACTCATGTATTTTGAAGTCCAGTTGATATGAGGATTGCCCCACCTTACACTCTTCACTCTGGCAAGGGCAGTTACCTGGTTTCTCAGTGGAAGACTCATCATCCTACTGTGTAACTTGCGTTTTCACGCGCTTACAGCCACTGCTTATAAAACAGGATATTACAAGTAATTAACAACATTTGAGACAAGGCAAGAAACTCTGCTGCTAGCTACCCAGTGAGTAGCAATGTAAGTATTGTATTAAAACGTTCATCCCAAAATTGCTAACAATGTATACTTTTCTCATGTGGAGATAAGTCTGGTGCATGATTCAGAAATCTTCTTGTATCCTTAAAGATTTGGCTGCAGGTGTATGGAAACGAATTATTGCAGTGGGTCATGTGTTTTGTGTGGGGAAAAGACTGCTGGCTATCAATTCCCTTCCTGTATCTCAAGTGAAAGAGAAAATACTGATACAATGTTCAGAAGCATTCCTAAATTTTCTTTGCAAAGCTTACTCTTATTTTAGCAACCTTGCTCATAGCTTTATCTTCTGAAAGGGGTTCTGTGTAAAACATTTTTGAGGTGGTTAAAGTAGGATTTATTTTTAACACGCTGCCAGTAATGTTTAATACTGTAGCAGGCATGTGTACAGGAGGTAAACATGCCAGCTGAAAACCGGTTGTTTCATAGGGCACCTGAAAGGATTTTATCCCAGTAGGATTCAATGAATGTTAAAGCTGTGGGTGGGCGCATATGAACAACAAGATTTCGGGGGGGGCGGGGGGGGGGCGGCGTGTGTAAAGACTATTTGAAATGCTTATTCTTTTAATCTGAAACAACTGCTTTTTTTTTAAATGAGTAACTTGTTCCAACAGTAGTTACTTCCCTACAACATCAAAATAATGAATATAATGACTAATCTTTCAAGCTGAAGTAATTACTCTGATGTTTTTAAAAACTTTCAGATAGATGCAACATGTTTGAAAGGTATTTTTAAATGTGCAAAGCTGAACAAATACGTGTTTCTCCTAATTTATTCTCCTTAAAATGAATTAATTTACTCACTAGATGAATGTAGTAACATAAGAGGAATGGGTTTTTTGCCAGTCACAGAAGTTGAAATTGGCCAGATGCTGTGATTGGGAGCCTAAATTCCCCTGACAGTAACTGTATGTGAAATTCTTAATATTGCTTTGCTCAGGTCTTGTATCTGACTTGTTTCCTTTTGCTATGATACTGCTTTAGTCAACACTTTCCTTTTATTTTGTATTTGCATTACTCTTATTGGAGAGAGGAAATTTAGTAGCAATAACCCTGGAGTTGAAGACTACATTATTTTCTTGGAGCATAATCAGAATGCATCACCTTACATCTTCCAGTCGTCTCAAAAAGCGAAGAGCAAGTATTTTGTCAAAGTGCCTCGTGAGTATGTTGTAGAAATGGAAAATGCCCTGTTTTCAAAGTTAAGTATGTACAGCCTAGTCACATTTTATGTAGCAGACAATTAATTTCCTTTGGTATATACATTAATGTCATTTAGATAGAGTTAGATTGTACTCTGTAATGTTTAAATCCTGCAGTATAGTGGCGAAGTGCTGCTTAATAGTACCAAAATTGTGCTCAGTCTGTAAATTTATTTCTTACACTGGCATGGCGGGATTTTCTGTACGTGCGTATGTATATGCACACAACTGCTCAGGGAATCAGCTGAAGGGTTTTTTAAGGATATAAAATTAATTTTTCTTTTCCTCTTTGTTTGTTAAGTTACACTGTCAAATGCTTCTGATAAAAGGTGGCACCAAGCCAGCTTCCTGCAGGAGCTATGGGGAGGGTCACGGCTTGTCGTGACCTGGGCACTGTTACTTGAATGTTGTTATTATTGGGATGAAGTACCCTTAGGCTGTCATCCTTCCTGTGCAAAGGAGAGCTTCTGATTCTCTGTGGTTTCCCAGTTTACCAACTTGCAGAACAGCTATTTTGTCGGCCATAAGTTTGATTGAATGATGAATTAGAAGACCTGCATTATTTCAGAAAGCAATGATCATCGTTTTAGTGTGCAGGTCTAAAGTAACTAATAATAAGCACAGCCAATCACGAATGTGTTTCCAAATAGTTTACAAATTTGCACCCCATTAAAATACTTACTTGCATTAGCATGCAGCAAACAAATTGCTCGCTTTTGCTCTCCATAAAGTAAGTGCAAAATTTTAATAAGCAGGGAACGTGGCTGGTCCTGACGGCCAAATTCGACTTTCTTTAAGGCACTGAAGAATCCCAGAGGTGTCAGCAGAGGGGCTGATTCGGCTCTGCTAGAGTCGGTGGCATTTGGCTGTTGACTTTCGTGGTTATCGGACTTAAGTTTGTTGGTTCTTTTCGTGAGAGTAAAGAGAACAGGAATTCCTATTAATTCCTTTATTAAACAAACAGCTTCTGTCATTATTTTCTATTCAATTTCAGTAATTAAATAAAATAATGCCAATTGGAATATAATGTTTGTAATATACTGGTCCTTTATTAGGGTTTATCAAGGTACAATCATAAGCACATTGTTGTAGTGATTTTCACCAATGTTTTGCTGTTGTAGCTGAAGTCACATCTATACTGATTAATATATCATTTCCCCAGTCATGCTATTAGAAACAGAGCGTTTTTACCCTTTCATTTCTGTTTTCTCCTTTCCAGTACCATCATGACAGCCGTGGCTGCGTCCTGTTTACAAATTGCTGCTAGTCACATTTTCAGTAGTCCTTGTGGGTTTTGCTTTTCCCTAATATGGGCAATTAGGAGGAAATATTTCTCACGAGCATGGGTTTGCTCTTCTCCGTGTAATGACATGGTCCTGTAATGCAGGAAACAGTGCTGCATGGTGTCCATGTCCCTGGTTTCCTGATGTGGGAAAAAAGTGTGGAAAGCATCTGGAGAGGAGGAGAGCCCCTTTACCAGCTTGTTTCCTGTAAGCGAAATTGGAAGACCTTGTCTGTGCAAATAGATTTCAAAATAGAGTCTGCCCTTTGACTGTCTCCATAATTACACAGCTCTCTCTGTATTTTATTTGGCTGCCAGAGCAGTTAACCCCTGGAAGTAAGGGGCTGATGATGGCGTGACCAGCACGGGTATGCAGACATGACCATGTGAATACACTCTTGTTTAGAGAAGCCTGTCGTTAAGACCTCCTTACAATATACTTTTGCCAAATTTAGAAATTATTACATGGTGGGTTATGTTGATTAAGATATGTTATATCCTTAATGTGCAGAAAATGCAGAGGTATTAGTTGCAAAAAACAAAAAAAAGAAAGAAAAGAAAAAAGTTTTTCGTGGCTTTGATGTAATCAACATCTGTCAACAGAATGAATTTGCTTTTGTTTAATTTCAAGGGCTCTTGTCCTGCCACTTTGCCCAATCAGTTTCAACTTCTGCCTGAGGCATTTCCCTATGTTGTTCTTTTTTTCAGCAAATGCACAGGTTATTGCTTGTGAAATGTGAGCTGCTCTTCTGTTACACAGGTTACTCAGAGTTGGAAAGAAGCTTTCATGGTCCCCATTCTATTTTTGAAGCTCATACGCACCTTTGCGACACAGGCAGGCATTACAAAGTTGGTGCTTTATTAAACAGTTAGTATTGGAATCCATATGTTATTACCCATGGTGGGTTTTGATACCTCACTTTAAAATTTATTCCTCTGAAGTTTCAAAAAATGAAAGTTTGCACAAGAAGCAAAATTATTAAATAACTGTAAATGACCTCACAAGCCAAATTAAAGATCTCAAGTGTTCTACCCATCAAATGTGTATATACTAAAAAACACCCTCCAATATCAGTTTTTTGTTCAGTTAAAAAGACATTTAAATCACGCATTTAACAATGGGCTATCTGAACACTGCTTTAGAGGTGGTTAATTGTTCATATATATTAAGATTTATCAAAAGCAAGTTGATTCTACTTCTAAATCAGTTGGACGTTAATTCTGGTAATCCTAACTAATGTCATTACTGTGCTTCTGTAGATACTATGACTGACTGAATTATTTTAAAATACGTTCATTTCGTTTCTTGGCTCTTTTAACATGTACCCTTGTATTTATTGTAGGTTAGAACTATCATGAAGTTTACCCTTTGGTAATAGTTTGCTAATTGATTGGTAATCTGAAGCCTTTCATAAATAAATACCAGAAGTCGGATTGCTAACAGTCACATTTGATGGATCATGTGCATGAACAGTTTTTTTTTTTGCATTGCTACTCCACACCTCATTGAAAAAAGTAGCTGATAAATTTCTGTAACTGTTAAATAAGAAGCATTAGGGAAGCGCTCGTGTGAGAGTTCAATTCCAACATCTCCCTTTAAAAATACTTCTTGACCAGAGGAAAATCACATTTAAATGACTAAAATCAACTTAATTAAGGGTCATTAATAGAGATACACATAAAAAAACTCCCTACTCAGTAAGTGAAATGGGAGCTTTTCATTATATAGTGTAGCATGCATGAACAGATAACAATTAAAATAGACCTAGAGTAAAAGGCTAATAAATATAGGGCACACTGTGCTGCAAAATCAGTCACTTAAAGTGCTCCCACCATCATACTTGAATTCTGTATTCAACCCCTTTGGCTGATTCGATTAAAAGAAAAGAAAATGTAATGTCTGTAAAAGATAAATTCATCTGGTAATTCACAAAAGCTCACAAGGCATATTTCTGCTATTAACGTAAGTTAAAGTATAGAAGGTATGCTGAGGAATCCAGCCGCTGCAGCAGCACATGCACGCACCGATCACGCGCGGTGGTTCGCTCTGGAGTCAGGGAAGCAGTTGTCTGCAATTTTCTGTGCTCAGTGCGTAGTAGGTGCTGATGTGATTTCTGAAACACTGGTAGTAATTCTTGTTGTTGCAGCTGGTCATAAATATTCTGTTATTGACGGGAAATGACACAGCTTTACTGTCAGGGAAGAAAAGAAACCTGTAAATGGTCAACTTTGCGTCCTCACCGTGATGCTCTGGGTGTTACAGCGCTGCCGGTTTCAGGCTCTGAGCTCTCTCTGAGGGATGTAATAGCCGCTGGAGGTGACACAGACCCTGCCTTTATGAAATATTTTACAGTAACTAATGTACATGTTTAGGGGCCAGGAAGCTTAAGGGAAAGGATGTGCTTGAGCTCCAGCACTGTAGAAGTACACAGGACTCTGACAAAAACTTGGCTAGGTGTAAGGGACGGGGAGGAGGGAGTATCTGGCCAAGGCTTGCAGCATGCAGCCGGTTGTTCCTGTCTCTGGTGATTGATGATGTTGCTATATCAAATTAGCTGTGAATATGAGAGCTTAAAAATAAAAGAAGATACGGAGACATTAAGAAGGCTTTCTTAAGGAAGGAAGTGTGTGCATGGAGTCCAGATTTCCATTATAAAGCAGTAACTTCATTATATTTTAATGCTATTTTATTTTTACTTTGAGGGAGGATGTTTTCTCTTGTGATTTTTTTATATCTCAGATGAAGGCTTAGTTATCCTATGTTTATAATTCTCATGATTTATTTCAGCAGTCGTATTACAGTATGGTGATACTTACTTGGTTGTCGCATTCCACCTGTTCAAGCAGTAGGTATTTTGTGAGCGTCTGGTCCATAGCGAGCAGTTAGTAGAACAGCAACAGACTACAGTACCTTGTTACCACATTATCTTGTGGCAACGCTTACAGTGTATCTTTTTGGGAAAGAGAGGTAAAAATGTTTGTTTCAGATAAGGCGGTGCCCCTCCTCAGCCGGGGATGGTTGGTAGACGTGCCCCCCGCAATACGACCTGGTTTGGCGTACGTGAGAGCGTCTGTGGTGGAGTCACTGGCGCCCGCGCTTGCACCTTTTTTTCCCCCAATTAAACTTTCCTGCGGCAGGACAGGTGGCCTGGCTGCAGGCCAAGCGGCCCGGACGGCGTCGGCCTGGCCCCTAGCTAACCCCACGCGTGACTGGGGGTTTTAAGGGCGCTTAGGTACCTGCTTGAGGCTGCGTGCAGACACCTGCTGCTGTGGTAGGAGCCAGGCGGACTGCTTGCTGCTACTTCTCACGGCCAAGAAGTCGCCGCCTCCCAAAAGGCGTGCGACCGGCCGTGAGCACCCGCCTTTTTTTTTTTTTTTGTTTTACTTGCCCAAAG